CGACGGTGGTGGCTTGGGCCAGGGTCACGCTGGGGTGGATCTGCAGAGACGGGGGAACGACACACAGAGAGAGGGATCCAGCTGGGATCAGCAGCGCCCGTCCCAGCACTCGGGGCGGGCAACCTCCCCAGCGTAGCCCCTGCTTCCAGCTCTCCCTCCACGTAGGGGTCCATCGAATGTCCCCGGTCAGTACCGTGCCCCTCGCTGCAACACCTCCCTTAGCTCACACCCGGCCAGGTTTCCTGCACCCCCCCGTCCCAATGCTGCAGACACTGTTAGCAGCTTAGAATCGTCGAGTATCAGGGTTGGAAGGGCCCTCAGGAGCTCATCGAGTCCAACCCTCGACTCAAAGCAGGACCAATCCCCAATTTTTGCCCCAGATCCCTAAATGGCCCCCCTCAAGGATTGAGCTCACAACCCTGGGCTTAGCAGGCCAATGCTCAAACCACTGAGCTATCCTTCCCGCTGCCGCGCTTCCAGCCCCCGTCCGCAGCGGGCGCTGCTGAGCGGACTCACCCTCCCGGGGCTGGAGACGCTGGCTGCAGAGGGCGCCTGCCGCTTGGGCTGGGCATATCACATCCACGCCCCGGGGGGGGCCCTAGCTGAGCTCATCCAGCCGGGGGCTGTGCTGGTGTTAGGACCCTCCGCAGCCTGCAGCGATACCGGGGGCCACAGTTTCCCCAGCCCTCGGGCAAGCAGAACCCAGTGTCCTGTGGACGGCACAGAGCGGGAGGAGAGACCCCGCGTGCGAGGGAAACCCACCCCCTGGGGGGACAGGAGGAAACAGCTCCCAGAGGCCCACGCTGGCCCAGCCTTTAAAGGGGCATCAAGGTGCGGGAGGGGTAGGGTCTAGTGACAAATCCACTTCGCCAGCGTCACCACGCTGAACGCCGTGGGCCATGCAGGGCTCCCCAGAGACGCAGCTCAGATCGTGCCGTGCTAAGGGGAATCTTCACTACCGGTCAGCTGCACAGGGGCTAGGACACACTACAGAGCAGTTCCGCTGCCGATCCAGAAAAGGGCAGCGTGAGCGTGTCTCTCCCTCTCTCTCTCACACACACACAATTGTACATGAAGTCAGTGGAGGACAGGACTCTCCCAGGCAGCCACCACCGCCCGTCCAGCCACGCTTGCTCGCACGGAATAAGCAGCTCTGTCTGGTGCCAGAGGCACCGCACCCTGGCCGGGGGACTGAGCCGCTTTGCGGTCTCCTGAAGACACTGGGTGGGAACAGCGCCTGATCAGCGGGGATCTGCTGTTTTACTAGATCTATTGGGGGAGCTGCTGAAAACTGCAGGCAGGTCCGTGCTCCGGCTGCTGGCGCTGGGAGCAGAAGAGGAAGGGTTTGGCTCCCGGGGAAACTGAGGCGCGCAGGAACAGTGGCGCGATTCTATCCCCGTCGTGGCGCCAGCACGGCTCTCGGCTGTTCTGGAGTGCGGAGTGACTCTCGGCCCTCTGACCCTGGGCTCGGGATCCCCACGGGCGCGACGGCAGCCCAGCTATTGGGGCAGTGTTACTCCGCTGTCTTCCTGCCCGTCCGTTTCCCCGTGTGTGGCTGCAGCGGGCCCTGAAGGGGGAAGAGGCCCCACTGCTGGGTTCGGGTCTCCCAAGCCCCGTGCGCTCAGCTCCCTGCACAGCTCTCAGGCTGTCCGGATGTCCCGGCATGGGACCGTCGGGTCTCGCCTGGCCAGGAAGATAAACTTAGGGGCACAAAGCCGGCCTTGGGAGACAGCTCCCCCTGCCCCCAGGGATCCTCCCTGCCCTCTAGCGCGGACCCTCACCTCACCCAGCCCTGGCACCCCCAAATCACTCCCTGCCTTGGGAACCACTCCTCCACCCTCACCACTAGGTTCTCCTTCCCGAGCCAGGGAGGGAACCCAGGTGTCCTGACGCTGCTGACTGCCCCCAAGCCAGGCCCTTTCACAGACTCCAGCAGTGGCTGCCGTGGGGCTGTGGGGGGCGACGTGACATGGAGGGGCATGGGTGCTCGTTCCTCCCACGGCTCGTGGCGCAGGCAGCCGCAGGTCCGGGCGGGGATGGGACGACGGCTGTGCCCAGCATGGGGAGCGACTCACTGCTCTGGTCCCCGTGTCGCTGGAGATGGGCGGGGGGCTGGGTCTGAGCCCCATAAACCAACCATCTATTCATGTTGGCATTATGAGGTCAGGACCCTTGCTCCCCCAGGATCTGGGGTCCCCCTCACCCACACTGTGGGGTCCTTTCCCAGCCCATCTCCTGGTCCTACCCCAGCCCAACCCCCCCAGAGACAAGCCCCTCCTGAGCCCCTCCCCTTCCCCCCAGGGTCCTGAGCCCCATCCCGGCACCCCCAGCAACAAGGAGCCCCCCCATTCCCCTCCAGGTTACCGTGTTGAGTGCCAAGTTGCCGCGGATGGCAGCTGGCGTGAGCCCGTAGAGCACGGCTGCCCCGGCCACCCCGCCCAGCACCTGGGCCACCATGTAGAAGACGGCGCGGAGCAGGGAGAGCTGGGCGCCCACCAGGAAGGCGAAGGTGACGGCTGGGTTGACGTGGGCCCCGCTGACGTGGCCCAGCACCTGCACCAGGGTGGCCGCGGCCAGCCCGAAGGCCAGGGCCACCTGCAGCACGTTGAGGGGCCCGACCCCCCCAGCGCAGCGAGGCCCCCAGCCCAAAGAAGACGTAGATCATGGTGGCGAAGAACTCAGCGAAGACGGCCCTCCAGAAAGAGGGGGAGCGCACCTCCCACATGGCGGGGGGCATGGGGGGCGCGGGCTGGGCCGGGCGCCTACAAACTCACTGCCCCCACCGGCTCTGGCTCCTTTCTACGGGGGACGCCCAAGCTGGGGGGTTTATATGGGGCCCTTGGTCCAGCCCAGGAGGTGGGATTCGGGACTGGGACTCTTAACTCCTTCATTGCCTGCAGCTGGGATGGGCCGCCCTCGGCTGTATAAAGGCTCCCCCTCCCCAGCTGATGCCAAGAGGGAGGGACAGGATGCGGAAGGGACTCAGGGGTGGGGGGAATCGGGGGGGAGGACATCTTTCAGGGACCCCTCCTCTGCCCCCCACCCTGGGAAGGGCCCTCCTGTCCCGCCGACCCAGAGTTCAGCCGCTCCCCGCCACCCAGAGAAGGGGCAGAGCTCAAGACTGTCGCCCTGGCTGGGCTGGGAGGATGGACAGAGCTGCCCCCCAAGTCACCTCTCCTATTCTGTGGGGGAATCAGGGTCTCCTTGTCACTGGCCTCCAGCAAAGTGTGGGGGGAGGTAGGTGCCAGGCAAAGGGGGCGTTATGGGCCCGCGATGGGCCGAGGGGGTTGGGTTATCTGGAGCAGTGGTCGGGGCAGCACAGATCGCTCTGGGGAACCACCAGACCGTGAGGGGGGAGTGCTGCTGGCCCCATCCTGGGGCATCCGAGCCCCTTGGGACACCAGAACGACCCAGCCCAGGGGCCAGGCTGGCTCCTCACGATCGCCCAGGAGAAACAAGGCGTTATACCTGGGCCTCTCAGGGCAGGAGAGCAGCTGCCGGGACCATGGCACGGGGCTGGGGGCACGCTGCCCGCCCCTCGTATGTCCTGCCCTCCTTACACCCTGTGGCCCCGCGCCATGTCTTGGTGGCTCTTGCCAGCGGTGGCAGGCTGGGGGCACCACATCAGCATCTGGCAGGGACCAAATTGGGAAGATTTTTTTCTCTTGGCCCCGGGCGACAAAACCCCGAGGGCTGCCCCTGCCCTGCCCTGCCCTGCCAACCCCTGAGCCAGGCGGGCTCTCTGCACCCCAGCAGTGCCCAGCACCTTCGGGACTGCCAGGGTGGGGTTCTGGCAAGGAACTGGGTGACTGGTGTTACCCTGAGAGGAGGGGCCAGGATTAGGTCTGAGCCCTTCCTGCGCCACTGCCTGGATCCCCTGCCCAAGCTGGAGTCACGAGGTCAAACCCCATTCCCATCTGAAGCACTCCCCTGGATCAGTTCCCTGGGGGCTGCAGGATCAGGCCCTGCTGTGCCCCTCCCTGCTCCCTCTACCCATCCCCCCAGGGCGGGATTTTGTCTCTCCAGCACTTTGCAGCCCATTCAATGGGCCCGGTTGTTTGCCAGGAAGGTTTACTCAGCGCTGGCTTAACGGGAGCTAATTCCCCCAAGCCGCGGGGGATTAGCCGCGGCTGTGCCATTGGGCAGGAGGGTGAGAATCTGCCAGGCCTGCAAGCGGCCAGGATAATGGGTTTGCTTCACTCAGCACCGAGCGCCCGGCCGGGCCTCGGCTGTCAGACCCGGGGTGGGGGGATGGGAACCAACCTGCCCTCACTCGCAGCCACTCCACTCTAGCTCGAATTCGGGAAGGGGGAACCGGGGGGGGGGCTATTTGTGTCTGGTGCTGAACACCCCTCAAAAGCTTTATGCACCCACAACCCCCCGGGCTGTTCTCCCTCATTTCCAAGTAGGGAAACTGAGGCACACAGACTAGAAAAGTGACTTGCCCAAGGTTACACACAGTAAGTCTGTGGCAGAGCCAGGGACAGGGACAAAACCCAGGAGTCCTGGCTCCCAGCCCCCCTGCTCTACCCACTAGCCCCACTCCCCTCCCTCTCCTGGGGACAGAACCCAGGAGTCCTGGCTCCCAGCCCCCCCTGCTCTAACCCACTAGCCCCATTCCCCTCACGCTCCTGGGGACAGAACCCAGGAGTCCTGGCTCTCAGCCCCCTGCTCTCGCACTTTGGTCCCTGCTCCGGTGCCCACTGGCATCCAAGCACGGTGTGAAGACTCCCCAGCGATGGTTGTCATGGTTGCAGGGCTAGTTACCCCTCTGCTCCCCCCCCCTCCCCCGCAGCGTCTTTTCTTAGGCCTTTACCCCCCACCCCGGGCGGAACCACCCCCAAATCTCCCACTTGCAGACTGGGCCCTGAGGCTATGGCCCCTGGCGCATCCATCCTGCCTCGGGCAGGTCCAGCTGGGCCCGGCCCCCGCAGCCCTCCCCTTGGGGGGCTGAGCCCTGACGCACAGTGACCAGGCAGCTGCTCACCCAAAGCCGGCTTTAATCGGAGCAGCAGCTACAGCGTGTGGAGGGAAAGGGGGTCAAACCCACTGCCAGGCCGCGCCCACGGCTGTTGTCCCTCGGGCCCTGCCATGCCGCTCGTTCGGCCACCCAGCTCTGCGGGTGCCAGCCGGATTCCCCCGGACGACGTGCCCTTTCCAGCCCCTGCCTCAGCCCCTCCGCCCTCCTGCGTTCCCGGCCCTCTCCCTGCCCAAGGGGTTGCTGAGACGTGGGGTATCTCAAGCCTGCTTGTTTTCCCAGCCAGCCCCTTGTGAAACTAACCCGGCCCATCCCTCCAGCACCGCCCCGGCGCCAGGCCCGTCCCTGATTACCGGGCAGCTCCCGATCCGTCCCGACGGTTCATTCCCCTCCAGCTTCAGCTGCCAGGCACTGGACCCCGCCCTGCCTTGGCCCGCTGGCCTGCCGAGCCCTCTGCCCCACGGATCACACCTGGAGCAGGTCGCTCCAGGCGGGCCCAGGGGACACTGAGAACAAGTGGCCGGCTGCAGCCAGAGCGGGGTGAGCCCCGTTCCCAAGTGGTGCCGCTGACTTGTTCTGGGGGCGATCAGCAGTAACCGGGGGCGGGAGGGCACTGCTGTAGCCAGGGTGGCCTGTATCTGTGGGGCAGGGGAGGGTCCAGACCTATGAGCAAACCCAGACTGCGAATGGGGGGGCACGAAGCCAGAGGCCGTTTTGCCCTTGAGCTCGGTGGCCATGGGGTCCGTGTGGTGCCCAGCGATCAGGCTGCAGCACCCAGCCCTGGCCCCAGCTGCCTTGGGGCACCCTGTCTGGGGCGCCCCAGTGCCCCACGGGGCTGCAGGAACAGCAATGCGGTGAACCAGGCTGGGCTATGCCACCCACCGCTGCCAGCCTGGGAGCCAAGCAGGAGCCTGCCAATAATGATCAACTGTACAGAGGAGCCGATAGGCTCCCAGCCAGCACCAGGGCTGTGGGCATGGACCGTGCCAGAGCTATCCTCACCCACAACGAACCCTCTCACGGTGCCAGCATGGACAGAGTGTGCCTTGCGCCCCCCCAGGAGTCAGGGGAGCGGCACTGCCATTTTGAGAGGGGGAAACTGAGGCACAGAAAGCAGCCAGTCACGTACTGAGTGAGTAGCATTGCTGCAGATAGAACGCAGGAGTCCTGGCTCCCAGCCCTCCCTGCTCTAACCACTAGATGCCACTCCCCTCTCAAAACCAGGGATCGAACCCAGGAGTCCTAGCTCCCAGCCCCCCACTCTATGCACAGGCTATGCTGTCTGTCCAAAAGCGGTGGCCCTGTTTCTCTGAGCCCCAGGACTGAGATGTGGTGGGTTCTGATCTGAACTGGCCCTGGTCTTGCCCGTCTCCTGCCTCCACCGGTGGATGCTGGGTGCAGCTGGTACCGGTGCTGGAGCAGCACTGGGGGTAGGGGTCACTCAGTGGGGCTAGCAGGTGGGGTGAGGGTGGGCTGGATCATGACAGTGGGGGTCACTCAAGGAGGCTGGCAGGTCCTTGGTGGGCAGGACGGGGTGGGGGAGGCCATGCTGGCTCAGCGCTGCTCCCCCTTGCGGGGTGGCTTGGCACGGGCGGTGTCCTGCGGGGCGGTGGAGAGAGAGGAGTGGGACACGCTGGCCGTCTCCACAATGTCGATGTCCCGGCAGGTCAGGCAGGCGACCAGCTTCTCCCGGGAGGCGCTGGAGGCAAAGAGGAACTCGTAGGAGAGGCCAGCCAGCACCGCGCCCAGCGAGGGGCCGATCCAGTACACCTGCGGGGGGGGAGGGGAGAGACAGGGGTCAGCGAGATCCAGTGCACCTGGGTGGGGGACAGGGGTCAGACAGGGCCCAGGGAGATCCACTGCACCTGGGGTGGGGCACAGGCCGGGGTCAGACAGGGCCCAGCGAGATCCAGTACACCTGGGGTGGGACAGGGCCCAGGGAGATCCGGTACACCTGGGGTGGGACAGGGATCAGACAGGGCCCAGGGAGATCCAGTGCACCTGGGGTGGGGCACAGGCCAGGGGTCAGACAGGGCCCAGCGAGATCCAGTACACCTGGGGGGGGACAGGGATCAGACAGGGCCCAGCGAGGGGCTGATCTAACACACCTGGGGGGGGCAGGACATGGGCTCAGGTTGGCCCCACGCTCCCCACATGCCCACTGCAGGCTGCTCAGCTCCAGGTCCTGGACCCAACATGGCCTTTGCTGGCTGGGCACCCCCTGCCCTCCCCCCCCCCATGCACCCCAGCCTGGCTCACCCAGTGATGGTCCCAGATGCCCGTCAGGACGGCTGGGCCCAGCGATCTGGCTGGGTTCATGCTGCCCCCGGAGAACGTCCCCTGCAGAGACAGCAGGGTGGTGAGTGGACATTGCGGGGCCCCGCCGGCCCAGCCTTGCCCTCCCTCTGGGGCAGGGGTATCTCTTACCGCAGCCAGCGCTCCAGCCGTCACGGAGAAGCCGATGGCCAGGCCGCCCGGCTCGCCCGCCCCTCGGCGCCGCTGGTCCTCCACGGCGAAGATGGTGAAGGCCAGCTGGAAGGTGGAGAAGGTCTCCATGGCGAGCGCCTGCCCAGCGTTCCCCTCGCTGCTCACCTGGGCCCGGGAACAAGACAGGGCAGCTCACACCCGGCACCGGCCCGGCCCTCAGGCCACGTGGGCAGCAGGGAAACTGGGGGCCTGTGGCCCCTGGACCAGACACAGTTGGGCGTTCACCCCTGGGGGGCATCAGGGGCTGTGTTGGTGTCCTGGTGACCCAGCAGCGAGAGGTCTGGGGAGGTCCCCACTGGGCTGTGGGGACAGTGAAGGGGGGTCGAATCCAGTCAAGGTGGGATCCCTGCTTCTGGGGCACGGGAAGGTGTGAGTCTGACAGGTGGCCCTGTCCACACGGTTGAGGGGCCACACTTCCATTGGGGGTCAGGGCAGCACTGCAAATGGGCAGCTGGCGGGGTCAGGGTGTCCCCCTGGAAGGCAGGTGCACCCTGTATCAGCACGCGCATCTGTTGGGCTGACCCAGGGACCGGTTACCCAGCTCCCCCAGTGCCCATGGGCCCCAGACAGACGCTGGGAGCCAGAAAGCCCAGGGCCTGAGGGGCGGCCGGGGTGGGGCCCCCTGTGACCAGGCTGGGACACTCACCCTGGTGACGAGGTGGCTGGCAGCTGCAGTGGGCAGCGCCAGGCAGACGGCGGCCGAGGCCAGGACGGCACCCAGGCACTGGGCCAGGATGTAGGCGGCTCCGTGCAGGGCATCCAGCTTGCGGGTGCAGAGGAAGGCCAGGGTGAGGGCCGGGTTGGCCTGGGCCCCGCTGACCTCGCCGAAGCAGTGAGCCAGGCCCAGGGCCGCCAGCCCGGCCGTCAGAGCCGGCTGCAGTGCGGGTGGGGCTGTGATGCGCCCGGGGCCGCTGGGGCACGAGGCGCCCAGCACCAGCCAGACGAAGATCAGGGTGCCAGCCGCCTCCGCCAGCAGGGAGCACCAGAACCGACGGCTCCGCAGGTCCTGGGGAGGGGGGGGACACACAATCAGCAACCAGGTGGGGGGGGACCATGGCAACAGACATGGGGGCGTCTGGTCCCATGGCAACGCGCGGCGGGGAGTCTGGAACCATGGCTGCAGAGGGGACACTGTGGGGAGGGCAGGTCACGGGGCAGCGTAGGGGGCTGGCTGTGAGCTCTTCCCATCACTAAGCCATCAACCAGCAGATCAGACCCCTCCAATCTTGCCCCCCCATGCCAGGGACCCCTGGCACAGATGCGCTTCACCAACCTCAGTCCCTCCATGGAGCCCGGGATGGATGGGTCTTAGTGGGGTCAGGGAGGAGCTGGTCTCAGGCACCGAATCCCCTGGTTTGTGGGGGGGTTGGTTTGGATGCTGGAACCCCCCACCCAGCCATGGTCCTAATGGAGCTGGAGCTGAGTATGGAAAGAAAGAAAGAAAGAAAGAAAGAAAGAAAGAAAGAAAGAAAGAAAGAAAGAAAGAAAGAAAGAAAGAGCGAGCCTGTCCCTGGATGGGTGGATGGATGCAGATGGGTGGAGAGATATGAATGGATGGACAGACAGATGGATGTGGCTGGGTGGAGACGGATGGATGGATACCAATGGATAGGTGGATATGGATGGATGGACAGATGCGGGTGGGTGGATGTGGACAGACGGATGGACACGGGTGGGTGGGTGGATATGGACGGATGGATGCGTGTGGGTGGATATGGCTGGACGAACGGACATGGGGGGGTTGGTGGATATAGACAGATGGATGGATGAGGGTGGGTGGATAGGTATGGACGGACGGACAGATGGGCGGGCGGGGTGGATATGGACAGATGGACAGATGTGAGTGGGTGAATATGGACGGATGGATGGACGGGGCAGGTGGGTGGATACGGACGGCTGGGCGGACGGATGGGCAGGGAGTTCAGAGAAGTTCTCCCAAACTTCCCAGGTGCCCCATAGCCAGGGGCCCGCTCAGCTGCCCACTGGGGTGAGGGAAAGGCGGGCAGCCCTTACCTCGCCGATGGCCATGCTGCCGGCTGGCTGCCCAGGGCTCTGCTCTGGGAGACACAGGGTGCTGCGCTGCTCTCCCTCCAGGGATCCTCAGACCCCCCCCTCCCGCCCCTCCCGGCCAGGCTCCTCTTAAAGGTACAGCAGCCACGGGCGCTGAGCAAGGGGCCAGAGGGGCATCGGGGCAGAGCCCGAGGGGGCCCGCTGGGCAGAGGGGGCAGCAGCGTGTTTCCAGGGCACCTGCTCCTGGGAACCCCCCCCGTCTCCTTAACCGAACCCACAGCTACCAACCCCCACCCACACATGCCACTCTCCTGGCTCACAGCCCCAGCCCTGGGCTCCTCCGCTCCCCCCAGCATGGCCAATGCCCCACATTCCCCTGCAAGTCCTGCCCCGGGCCCCCCATCAGCTGATGCTCCTCACTCCCGACCTGCAGCCCCACTCCCCCCGCTATTCCCGAAGTCGGCTTCTCCTGAGCAGAAACTGCCAGAGTTTCTTTAGTGGGGGCCCTGGGGGGGGGGGCTGACAGGACCAAGCATGTCCTGTGGCCGTGGGTAAAGCCAGGTGTGCCCCCAGGGGGTGGGGTTGGGCTGCAGGATGGGCAGGGCCCGGGTGGGGTGGGGGGTTGGGGTCTGGGATGGGCAGGGCTGGGGGGCAATTTGGGGTCTGGGATGGGCAGGACTCCAACCTGAAAGCGGGGCGGGGGTGGGGGGTGTTGATGACTCAGGTGCCTGGAAACCAGCGGCTGTCATGGCAACCTGCCCCTTTGAATCTCAAAGAGGAACCAAAGGCCTTCTGAAGGGGGTTGTCAGGACGACCGAGGACGTTGTCCAGGGCTGGGATTCTCCCTCCTACCAGAGATGAAAGGAGAGAGGAAGGGGGGCTGCGGAGCTGGGGCACGAGGGAGGGCGAGTGTGCCACTGGCTGTGCGAAGGCACAAGGGAGGGTGCAAATGAGTGTGCGAATGGCAAGTGTGCAAACAAGCATACACGGGGCGACCGTGCAAATGAGTGTGAACGCGGACAGCATGAAAAAGAGCGTCTGAGTGACGCTACGTGGAGCAGGTCTGCACGGCCGGGTGGGGCAGGTGGGGGAGCGAATGCACATGGGAGTGTGTGCACCGGTGAGTGTGAACGTCTGTGTCAGAGAGTGTGCGCAGGCAGGGGGAGGTGTGGATGGAATCAGGCAGGCAAGGAGTGGGGGGCTATGGGGCCAGGTGCCCTGTGATTGCGGGTGCGAGTCTCCTCTCACGCTGCTGGCACACCCGTGTACCACGAGTCCCGCAGAGCCCAGCCCCAGCATGGGGGGGTACCGATCACAGCGGGGGCCTCTGGAGACTGCAGTAACACCAATGCCCTAGGTGAGCATGGGGAAAGGTCCCCCCCGGACGCCAGAACACATGGGGAGTGCGTCCTTGGGGTCACCAGGCGCCTGGGTCTGCGGGTGAGCAGGTGTCTGGGCCCAGTTGCTCCATTTTAGAGACAGGGAAAGTGAGGCGCGGGGGAAGCAAGTCCTATTGGTGCAGCTGCAATGGAAGCCAGGAGTCCGGCCTCCTGTCCGGCAGACCAGTACGGTGCAGGAGGGGACAGCGCTGGGCCACCTAGGCTGTAAACCCCCTTCGATTGGAGGCCAAGGCCCTAAAGCCGCTGGAGCCGTCCCTGGAGAATTCCCCTCCGCGCTGCTCCCCCAGTGTTGCTGGCTCAGCAGAGCCTCCCCCCGCCCGCCCCCCAAGAGCTCCAGCTGGAGTCAGCGGGGCTTTACAGCCGAAGCACCTGGCTCAGCAAAACCTGGGGGTGCAGCGGCCCCGGGCTGACCCCGGCCGGTGCCGCGTTCGCTCTATTCTTCCTGCCATTCTCTGCGCGGCGTGTGCTGACTTGCTGCAAAGAGCCAGAACAATCAGCGGCCTCAATAGCTGAAACAAAGCCCCCCCCCCCTTGCCCCCCAGCTGGGACTCCAGCCCCCCCCCCCCCCCCCCAAACACACCCACGCTGGGTGGGCGGCCCTGTCAGGCCCCATCAGCATCAAACGCCGGCCCAGCGAGAGCCCCCCGCTGCCCACTCCTGCTGCGGCTGCCCTTGCCGTGCCCTCCCCGCGGGGCCCGCTCACGGGTGGGCACCGACGTTACTCTCTCTGTGCCAGCTCCCTGCCCGCCCCAGCCACCACGTGGGTGCCCCTGTCGTTGGCGTCTCCACCCTCCACCCGCCCCTGTGCACACACACCCCCTTGTCCCCCCCAGAGCCAGGCGCTATGTGCAAAGAGCCCCTCCCCCCCAGGGAAGTATGGAGACACCCCCCCAGCGAGGACCAGGGAGAAGCCCCCCTCCCCCCTTTGCATGGAGCGGGTGCTGCTGTCCCATCGCACCTTTATCCAGCACCCACCGCGGGTGACACACACACCCCCCGCCGCCTTTCAGCAGCTCTTCCCCGATCCCTGGCACCGCTGCCCACACACAGCAGCACCCGGGGCTGTGCCCAGGGGGCAGGTGTTCGCGTTGTCCTGTCTCCCTGTCTCTCCTCCCACCTCTGGGAGCCCTGGGGTGAGGTGAGACTGGTCTGAGACCTGCTGGTCTGGGGCAGGACAAACCAGTCCCCTCCTCCCCCCACCCTATAAACTCTGTGCTGCTCCAGCCAGTCGGGGGCACCACCTGGTTCCAGGGGCTGGTTCTGTTTGGGGCATGAAACGCCCGTCCAGCCCTCACCTCCCGCCCTGAGCCAGGCAGAGCGCAGGGGGACAGTGACTGGATGGGCAGCGCTCTCCCCAGGAGCAGAAGGAGGGGAATAAATGGGGTCAGGCATGGAAGGGCCAAGGGAGAAACCTCCCTCAGAACGGAGCTTGGCCGACCTAGATCCGGGCTCCTTGTGGGATTTCTTTCCTCTCGTAACTGAAATATGTGGGGCCTGTGAAAACACTGAATCCAATTATTCCATCGCCTGGCGTTCCAGGCCAGGTTCTCCATGGCCCTGTGCCTTCTTGGGCAGTCATGTGTCCCTGCGCGGATTCTCACTCACGCAAAGAAACGTGGCATTCATGAAACCTGATGGGATGATTCCCACAACTGGACTATTAAAATCACCAGCCACAAAACCCTGTGTAGGAAGGACAGAGGGGAACAGAGGTGGTTTTTTTGCGGGGGAGAGGCGCTCTACATGAAAGACACCCTTCCCGGCTTTAGAGATACTGGTAACTCAAGCACAGGATCTCCACTCAACTCCAGGTGCTAGGACTTTAACAAAAACAGTAATTATCACGAGACTCATGACAAAATCACGAGAGCTGCCATGCTGGTCACGTGTGGAACGAACGGTGGTGTTCTTCCGGGGGGCTCTGATTTGGGAGACGTATGCTGGAGATTCCCTGCTGCTGGCAGGGAAACATCATTCGCGTTTCTGAAAGTTACAGGTGTTGAAAAACTGGAGAGAGTGCAGAAAAAAGCCACCAAAATGATTTAAGGTGCTCCCCTGCCCCTAATCAATCAGAGCTTGTCCGTGGAGAGGAACGGCTCTACAACAATGCCTGACAAAACAGAGAGAGGTTTAAGGAGCAAACTCTATTTGGCTGGTCAGAGAGAAGCTGGAGTGTGAGCTGATTACAGTGTATGAGTACCATGGCAGGGAGATAACACCAGACATCTAGTGGAGACAGGCAGAACAAGAACCAACAACTGGTAACTGAAACCAGACAAATGCAAATTAGAATGCAGCAGGCCCATTTGTTTTTTAAAGAAGGAGGGTGATAAAGCATTGGAACAAATTACCAAGTGTCCTCAGATCAAGACTGGCTGCCTTTCTGGAAGGTGCTTTAGCCAAACCCAAGTTATTGGGCTGAACGCAGGGGGAACAAGGTGAAAGGTCTGGCCTGTGCTGTACATTTCATGCCCACTTTGCACTGGTCTAAATGACTGTACAAGATCTGGGATGATGGAGAATCAGGCCCGAAATACAGAGCTCCCGCGACAAAAATCTCCAGCGGCTTCGCTCGTAACACAGGGGATGTGGGTGAAACGTTACTTGGTACCAATATTCCACAGCACAGTGGTGGGGAACAGTGTAAGTGGCTCTGGCTCCCAGCCCTGTTCTTGCTGGGTCCCCCGGTGAAAAGAAGCAGCTGGTGGCTCTTGCAGCTAAGGCCGCCCCCAGGCAGCAGCAGGGTTGCAGTTTCCATTAATTACTGAACTGTTGAGCACCCCCAGAGGTGATGTCCAGAGGCGAGAAGGAATTGCTGTCTGCAGCTTCAACGTCACCACTGACCTGCTGTGTCACTGTGCGTAAGTCACTTCCCTACCCCGTGCCTCAGTTTCCCCTCCCCAGTCTTTGTTAAGGCCAGGGGCTGTTTCTCAGCATAGGTGTGTACAGCGCCCAGCACAATAGAATTCTATTCTACGCAGGTGCTTAGTCAGCCCTCCTCAGGTAGGATGGCGACAAAGGCTGTATAAATTCCTGAATACGCTTAGATTAGACCGAATAGTCTCTGGACTGAGAGGAAGGAGGGGCCAGTGCTTAGGGCCCCAGCCTGCGACTTGGGAAACCCAGGTTCTGCCACAGACTCCCTCTGTGCAACCTTGGGCAGGTCACTTCAGTTTCCCCACCTGTACAAAGGTGATAATACCCCCGCCTCGCCTCCCAGGGGTGTTGTGAGAGTACATATGTTAAAGACTACGAGGGGCTCAGATACTGTGGTGAGGGGGGCCAGGTGACCTTAGCCAGAGAGATCCTTGTTGGGGCCAGGTCTGTGCAGCGCCTGGCGCACTGGGGGTGCTGCTGTCAGACCCATAAGAATCAAGTTGTTCTTTACGGCACAGTCAGTTGAGGTGGCTGTCGAGGACCACGGGGACGTTACAGTGGATTACAACAGGTACTGAATAGTAATAACAACACTTTGCACTTCTCTGGGGCCTTCAGACCACACGGAGCTCGGCAAATATCTGGGCCCTACTCCACCCACCCTGGGTCGGGGCTCTGGGGGTCAGCCCTGCCCCGCAGCTGGGCACAGAGAGTCACAGAGTGAGAACAGGTTTCAGAGTA